TGTAGATGGGCAGGAGAGTCAGGTTATAGTCTGGCGTCACCCAAATGCCTTAGCCAAACCGCTCACATCTGTAACCAATAAAGTTGTGGCCTTATTTATCCCATTAACCCAACATACTTATGTCGGTGTGTTTATTTCTGAGGGGAACTGCAGGACCTGGGGCCTGGCCAAGCAAGTCTGGAGAGAGGAACACATAGCTAGGCAGTACCCTACGTAAAGTACCCTGACCAATAGGTCCAGTCGCGGATGACTCTGGGGTTGTGGTGCTCATCTCGCTTTATTGGCCAAGGGAGCCGGCACACAGCTTCCGGATCATGTGGCCAGCATGACTAAGCCGCTTCTTGCAAACCAGAGCAGCACACGAAAACGCCCTTTACCTTCCTGTTGGAGCGGTACCTATTTATCTACTTGCACTTTTTAGTGTGCTTTTGAACTGCTATGTTGGCATGAGCAGGGACCGAGCAACGGGAGCTCACCCCGTCGCAGGGATTCGAACTGTCGACCTTCTGATCGGTAAGCCCTAGGCTCTGTGGACCACAGCACCACCTTACTCGAGAGTAATTCAGCAGACAGAGAGAGATTTATTTCTTCTCTAAGTTTATGAATCAGATTATATTGAAGCTATTTGTCCTTGGTGGTTTATGGGAAGGTTTTTTAACTAATGGGATGTGTTCCTCTTTCACTAAAGGAAAAGCACCAGTGTGAGTGACAGCCAGAGGAAAGGAGGTGGAAAAGCCAGGAAAGAATGTTCCAATTCAGATTCTGTTGTTCACGCCCATTTCCTATTGCTTACAACAAAACCCCAGCCCTTGGCTGATCTGTTGAATTGGATGCAGCTGGCAAAATTGAGGGAAGGCAGTGCTTTGTTCTGTGGAGGCAAGTGATCATTTGATTATCTTATCTGCAGCTGAATGGACTCCATTTTCAATAAGAAAATTATCCCAATAGAGGATATACATTATGAACAAAAGACTGCACTTCAGCAGCTTAGAAGCTGCTAAACTGGGAAAAACAGGAGTAATCAGAACGTATTTGAGTGTGGAGTTTGGAGATTAATTTTATCAGATGCAACTTTTGCTCAAGGAGACATAAGCATTTTTAATTATGTACCACTATTCCTAAAGGAACACTGAACTTCTTTCTTAAGGCATTCCTCTTCCTCCCCTCTGTCACATTTCATCCCATTTAAGCCAATTGAAACTCTTCCCCAGCCCCCAGGGCACCGTCATTTTGGCACATAAAATGCCCACTGCTCAGCCCCATGGCCTTGCAGACAACTTCATTGTCTAGAAAGTGGGAGAAGCAACAAGAGGAACAGCCATTTTAGATCTGGTCCTAACCAATGTTGATGACCTGGTTAGTGGGGTAGAAGTGGAAGGATCATTAGGCGCGAGTGATCATGCTCTTCTGAAGTTTACTATACAGCGGAAAGGAGCAGCCAAGCATACTAGGACTCAATTTCTTGACTTTAAGAAAGCCGACTTCATAAAACTTAGGGAAGTGCTGGGTGAGATCCCATGGACAGTAATACTAAAAGGAAAGGGAGTTCATGATGGCTGGGAGTTTGTTAAGAGGGAGATAGTAAAAGCACAACGTCAGGCAATACCAATGAGACGGAAACATGGAAGATGCCTAAAGAAGCCAGGGTGGCTATCTAAAGAACTTTTAACTGAGTTAAGATTAAAAAAGGATGTGTACAAAAAATGGAAAAGGGGGACTTCCGGGTTAGCGCCATCAGCGAATGGCGGAGTTCCTCCGACTGGAGGAACTGGCTCTGTGGAAACTGGGTCTTCCCGCCGCGGCGAAGGTGGGGGCCCGCTAGAAATCCCAGGCAGAGGAAGCCTGGGAACGTGGGGTTCGGCAGGGCACCAGGAGCGCCTCCCCTACTCATGGGGAACCCCATTTCAGGGGTCTGGAGTGAAGTGGGGTGAGCAGCGCGGTGCTGCGAACTGATTGCTACTTTCACGGAGTGAAGCCGCATAGCCATTGCCGGAGAGCGCTGACTTTTTCCTGTGGACAATTGGATTTAAAACAAGTACCCGTAAGTAGAAACGGAAAATTGGATCAAGAAATATCCTAATTTGGCACCGAAGCGGGAAGGTTCAAAACAGGAAGTCCGCCTTCCGCTTTTTGTATATAGACTGAAGCAAAAACCTTGTAAGCTAAAGCCTGGAAAGTCGTTTATAAAAGTCTAAATTTCCTTCATTTATAACCACTAAAACCCCCTTGGAAGCAGGAGAAAAGGGGGGGGACTTTGTTTAAGCCTGCAGGAGGGAGAGGGAGTAAAGAAAGACAAGTTTCCACCGTCTTAAATCTGGGAACGGGGTGTCAGAGACAGAAATTGTTGGAGAGGTTCATTGACTGTGAATCGAACACTTTGACAGATAGCTAAAAAAGAGAAATAAACTGATTCCAATGTTGCCTTTTGCATTCTAAAGAAACAAAATATCTGAAAAATGAAAGTAATTTTCCTTTGTTGGACTTGCCTTAAAAAGATGGATACAAATAGAAATTGTCTCCTCTAGAGGGAGCTTGTTAAATTGTTGCTGCAGTCTACTTGAGGACTAGACAGCTGTGAGATTAGGATCGTGGGACCAGTCCTTGGACAAAATGTGCTGGGAGGAAGTTTTGGTGCTTGCTTTATGCAAGACAAGCGCTTTGTTGGAACAGATGCATGAGAAGATGGATTTGATGAATGAGAAAACAGATTTGATGACTGTTGTGGTCAATAACTGTGGACAAACAGGGAAAACTGATACAGAAACCATTCAGGGACCAACTCAGGAACCTGTATTGATTGGGCAAGTGCAAGTGCAGAAGATAATGGAGGAGGTTGCGGTTGCACCTCAAATAATACAAATGGAGAGATCCGAGGCCCTGCAGGAGCATAAGCCGCTGTTTTTGAAGATTGAAGTTGGAGTGGGCCAGGTGGAGTCTGGAGCTGAGGAGGTTCTTAACTTCGGAGGGACTTCGAAATATGCTCTTAAATATTCTTTGGATTACATTGATGACTGTGGGGAGTGGGACTGTGGGGAATGGGCTAGTTTGGTGAAGGGAGATGGAGATAACTTTGGACTGGAACCTCCCAGAGACCTACTCCTCAATGAGAAAGGAAAGAAATTAAGAAAGAGACTAACAAAAGACAAGGAAAAGTGCAGGTATAAACAAGAAGAAGAAGATCTGCAGAAGGGACATGGAAGAGACTTAAGAGCGTCGGACATAAGATTGCCAGGTTGATGGACTGGACGGAATGGACAGTAAGGACTGACATAACCCGAGACCAGGAAGAAGAGACATTGGATGAAGATTGGAAGAAAGTTCTTAAAATTTTATTTTCAGAATTAGTGTAAAATTAATGAGTATCAGGAAAAATGTTGAAATGAAACTATTTGGCTTTAATAGAAATGATATAAGGAGTTATGTATAAATAAGTATTAAGTTTTAAGTTTTAAGGTATTTTATGGCAAGATAAGGTTAAAATAAATAAAGGTAAATTGAATGAAAGAATATAGTGAAAGATGGAAAGGATTTGCTGAGTTAATTAATAGGTTAAATTGTTAAGATAAATTATTTAATAAAAATTGAGAAAGATGGAAAGAATTTGCTGAAATAACTAATTAAACTAGAATACAAAAAGGGAGGTGTGAGGAGGTCAATGAAACAAGCAAATGGAAGTTAAAGATATGCAATATGGGATTTGCGTTTTGTTTTTCTTTTTGTTGTATTGCTGTATTGGTTTTTATGGTTTTTTTTTCTTCTTCTTTTTTATGTATTGTAGTGTTGTTTTCTATTTTCTCTCTTTTTTTTCTGTAATCCTGAAACTTTTAATAAATTTTTTAAAAAAAAAAAAAATGGAAAAGGAGGGAAACCACCAAAGAGGAATTCAAACAGATAGCCAGCACGTGTAGACACAAAGTCAGAAAAGCTAAAGCACAGAATGAACTCAGGCTTCCTAGAGAGGTTAAAAGCAACAAAAAAGGCTTTTATGGGTATGTTCATAGCAAAAGGAAGAACAAAGAAACAGTGGGGTCACTCAGAGGAGAAGATGGTGAAATGCAAACAAGGGGACACAGAAAGGGCTGAACTCCTCGATGCCTTCTTTGCCTCAGTCTTCTCCGATAAAGTAAACAATGCCCGACCTGAAGAATTTGGATCAAATGATTCAGCAGAGGAAACACAGCCCAGAATAACTAAGGAGATAGTACAAGAATACTTGGCTAGTTTAGATGTATTCAAGTCTCCAGGGCCAGATGAACTGCATCCAAAAGTATTAAAAGAACTGGCAGATGTGATCTCAGAACCACTGGCAGTCATCTTTGAGAATTCCTGGAGAACAGGCGAAGTCCCGGCAGACTGGAGGAGGGCAAATGTTGTCCCTATTTTCAAAAAGGGGAAAGAGAGGACCCAAAAAATTACCGCCCAGTCAGTTTGACATCAATACCAGGGAAGATTCTGGAGCAGATCATTAAGCAAACAGTCTGTGAGCTCCTAGAAAGGAATGCTGTGATCACCAATAGTCAGCATGGATTTCTGAAAAATAAGTCATGTCAGACTAACCTGATCTCATTTTTTGACAGAATTACAAGCCTGGTAGATGAAGGGAACGCAGTGGATGTAGCCTACCTTGATTTCAGCAAGGCATTTGACAAGGTGTCCCATGCTATTATTGTAAAGAAGCTGGTAAAATGCGGTCTTGACTATGCTAACACTCAGTGGATTTGTAACTGGCTGACTGACCGAACCCAAAGGTTTGCTCATCAATGGTTCCTCTTCATCCTGGAGAAGAGTGACTAGTGGGATGCCACATGGTTCTGTCTTGGGCCCGGTCTTATTCAACATCTTTATCAACAACTTGGATGATGGACTCAAGGGCATCCTGATCAAATTTGCAGCTGACACCAAACTGGGAGGGGTGGCTAACACCCCAGAGGACAGGATTGTTGTGACGTGGGGTTTGTGATTTCAGCTCTCCTGATATAACATGCTGGAGACAGTTCTCTAGTAACACTTCTTTATTAAAGCACAAGACTAAAGACTGGGGAGAGGAAAGCTACATTTATAGGGACAGGGAACTAGCAAGAAAGGATACATTTTGGAGGGAACAATATCAGGCAATCACAGTCCTGCCTTTTGGAGGGAACCAATAAGACAGAGGATCCAAATACAGCAGCTTAAATGAACCAATAGTAGCTGTACCCTCTAGAACCAAAAGGCAGTTACTTTACCCTAATGCAAATACAGACAATAATAATACAGATATAAAATCCTTTGACTCAATACACAACACCCCTTCCCCCCTAGTGAGCACAGCAGACGTAATCTCTCAGGTACTGTGGGGGCCTACAACTTCTACTTGATCTCCTGACAACAGGTGTTGCAGGTTCAGGATTGGGTGTTACCTGTGGTAGAGGGGCTGCTCTAGGGGTTTCGTCAGGAACAGATGGAGTCCCCGACATCTCAGGGTCCCCTATCTGTACCTCGTCATCGTGAGGACTAGCAGACCCTGGTTCATTTGTTAAAGCCCCTGGTGATTGCACCTTTGGGCCATTTTCACTCTGGTCTTGCGGCTCTGCGTCGTTAGCCTGGGATGAATTATCTGGCTCCTCCCTGCTGAGCGCCCGGCGCCTCAGCTGATCTATATGTCTCTTCCACACTTGCCCATTTTCCAAGGTCACATAATAGGACACAGGTCCACTAGCCCGGGTGACCACACCAGCCACCCACCGCGAACCTCGTGAATAGTTCCTCACCCAGACCAGATCTTCAGGGGCGAGATACCTTGTTGTGTCAGTCTCAGCCTGGGGGGTTGCTCTTGAATTATGGTTTGGCATTTTATCCGGGTGGACATAATCCAGCACCGTTACCAGTCTCCTACCCAAGAGCAGCTCAGCTGGCGACTTGCCCGTTGCGGTACACGGCGTCGCATGCTGCAAAAATAACATTCGCGCGATGCGAGCTGACCAGTTACCCTCCATTAAGCGCGCAATGGATTCTTTGGCTGTTCTTACCATGCGCTCAGCCTGCCCATTGGAGGATGGGTGAAAGGGCGCGGATGTTACCCCTCTTATGAAGTTATCAGCCAAGAATGCCCTGAATTCTTGGGATACAAAAGCTGCCCCATTATCTGATACAATGGTCTCAGGTAACCCGTGGGTTGCAAACAGCTGCCTCAACACCTTGATGACGGCAGCTGATGCCATGCTAGGGACCATCGCCACTTCTAACCATTTGGAATATGCATCAACGATAACCAAAAAGACCTTTCCTTGGAATGGCCCAGCAAAATCTAAGTGCAGCCGGCTCCAGGGAGATCTGGACTGCTCCCACCAGTGGACTGGTGCTCTGGCCACTTCTGGCCGCACCTCTTGGCATGCCTTGCATGTTCGTACCCATTGTTCTATGTTCTGGTCCATTCCAGGCCACCACACATAACATCGGGCTAGCGACTTCATCCTGACCATTCCCAGGTGTCCCATGTGAAGCGTCTCAAGAACCCTGTTTCTCAGTGGTGCTGGAATGATGACCCTATCTCCCCACAGGAGACAACCCTTATGCATGGACAACTCGTGCTGCCTAGTCGCATAAGGCCTGAATTTGTCTTCATGCGGACCACCCGGCCACCCCCTCCCCACCCAAGTGAGCACACGGGAGAGAACAGCATCTTTCCTCGTTTTCTCAGCTATATCAGTAGCCGTTACAGGAGCCCCCCGGAAGTGTTTCCAGCATCATTATGTGCTCCGCTGGAGCAGGATCCTCAGTGCTCCCGCCAGGAAGGGGCAATCGACTCAGCGCATCCGCGTGGCACAACCGTTTCCCCGGCACATGGGTCAAGGTGTACTGGAACCCGTTCAGGAATATAGACCAACGTAACATTCTGGGGGAGAGAATTTGTGGCGTTTGTTTGTTCGGGTTGAACAACCCTAACAGTGGCTTGTGGTCCGTTTCAATGTAGAAATGGCGACCGTACACATAATCATGGAACTTTTTGATTCCTGCCACAATTGCAAGCGCCTCTTTGTCAATTTGAGCATAGTTGCGCTCCGTGGGCGACAACGTACGGGAATAGAAAGAGATGGGCTTTTCCGACCCATCCGGTTCCCTATGACTTAGCACCGCCCCCAGGCCGTATTGAGAGGCATCACATGCCAGGACCAGAGGCTTTGACTCGTCATAATGAGCAAGGACACTCCTGCTACTCAGCATTCCTCGCAAGGAGTCAAAAGCCTTCTGCTGCCCCTGCCCCCATCGCCACACAGTCTTTTCTGCAACAGTCTATGTAATGGTTCAGCTACCGAAGCTTTCTGGGGTAAGAACGAATGATAAAAGTTAATAAGTCCCAGGAATGACTGCAACTCCGTCTTGTTCTGTGGTCGTGGCGCCTCGATGATGGCCTTAATCTTAGCATCTGTGGGGTGGATGCCTGATGCATCAATTTTAAACCCCAAGAAATCCACAGTTGGCACCCCAAAACTGCATTTTTCCTTTTCAGTTGCAACCCCACCTCCTTGAACTTGAGCAACACTGCACAAACACGCGCAACCAGTTCCTGTGGGTCTTTTCCAGCAATCAAAACGTCATCAAAAATGGCAAGACCCCCGGCAGACCTCTTAACAGGTGTTCCATGAGCCCTTGAAAAATCCCTGGGGCCACACAAACTCCAAATTGTAATCTGTTAACTCTGAACGCCCCTTTATGTGTGACAATAGTCTGTGCTTCCGCTGATTGTGGGGTTACTGGCAGCTGTTGGTAAGCTTGTGCCAGGTCAATTTTGGCGAACACCTTGCCCCCAGCCAGTTTAGCCAACAGATGTGATACGACTGGAATGGGGTATGAGTTTCCCCTGAGTGCCTTATTGATAGTACATTTGTAATCTGCACAGATCCTGACTTCCCCATTTGCTTTAAGGGGCGTGACGATTGGAGTCTCCCACTTAGCAGAGTCCACGGGTGAGAGAACTCCCTGCTTGACCAATTTATCCAGCTCTGCTTCGATCTTGGGTTGCAGTGCAAATGGCACTCGCCTTGGTTTGAGTCGGATTGGGGCCACCCCAGGGTCCAACTCGAAGTCAACTGGGGGCCCTTTATAACAACCCAGTTTTCCATTAAAGAGACCAGCAAATTCTTTGCATAATGCCTCGCTCATCTCAGGGCAGGTTTGGATTGAATTAAGCCCTGATATACTCAGTCCCAGGGCGGGGAACCAGTCAGTGCCCAGGAGACTGGGGCGACTGCCCTTCGCAATCACCAGTTTGAGTACAGCCTGTTTGTCCCGGAACTGTACTCTCACGGCACACATTCCCATAACATGGATGCGGCCCGCTGAGTATGACTGCAAGGTTGCCGGGAAGGGTTCCAGAGGGGGCAACTTACCCCTGGGGAAGAATGTCCTCGCGGTCTGGTCCGACACGATAGTGAATCCAGATCCGGAGTCCACCTCCATGTCGCACTGCTGACCCTCAATCTTCACCTTGACGTGTGCCTTGCCTTGTGCTGGGAACTGCACGACCCTCCCGTTGATCTCCGTAACGTAGTGGCAGTCCTTTAGAAAATGGGTTGCTGCGGGCGGTCTGCGATGCTCCGGTCTAGGTGCTCCTGTCGCTCCCAACGCCGCCGATCTACAGACTCTGGCGATGTGACCTGTCTTCCCGCACGTCCGGCACATAGCATCCCGGAAACGACAACTCTTCCGCTCATGGTTTCCGCCACAACCTGGGCACCTGCCTCGGTGATCTTTGTGCACTGTGCAGGCCTGACTCACTGACTCGACCCCACGGACTGGGCTCTGGCTCGGAGTAGCCTCTAGCTCGTCCATGGCATGCGCAACTTCTATCTGTGGCTTAGGGGCCTTGCGACTGGCATCAAGCTCCTCTCTTTCATAATTCTCCGTGGCGGTGGCCTCCTTCAAGGCTGAAGCAAGGGTAACCTCTTCTTTAGCCACGATGCGTCTTCTGGCCTTCTTGCTGCTCAGACCACCGATAAACCGATCCAGGAGAGTCTCTTCCAGATTTTGGAAGTCGCAGTGCTGAGCGAGCTTCCGCAGTTCAGCCAGAAATGCAGATACAGACTCCCCAGCATGCTGCTGCCTCTTATGAAACTCCATCCGCCGAGCCATCTTGGTCTCAGTAGGCGCCAAGTGGCTTGTTAGGCAGGCAAGAATATCTTTGAGAGATGTCTCACTTAGCTTCGCTGGAGCAAGCAATGCCTTGGCCAGCTTGAAGGTCTCAGGCCCACAGTAGCTCAGGAATGTGGCCCTTCTTTTGCTGGCATCGGTGATCCCTTGAGCCTCTGCGAAGAACTCGAAGCGTTCGACGTAGTCTTCCCACGTGTCGGGCTCTGATGGCTGGAAGGGCTCCAATACCCTTGGACTCTCCATTGTCCTGTGGCAGGGTCGTCTTCTCAGCTGGTCAGTGAGTCTTGTTCTTAGCTGCAATCCGGACTCTGAGGCAGGGCTGCGTTTAACCGCTCCTCAGCATTCCGGATCCCACCTTCGTCGCCAGTTGTTGTGACGTGGGGTTTGTGATTTCAGCTCTCCTGATATAACATGCTGGAGACAGTTCTCTAGTAACACTTCTTTATTAAAGCAACAAGACTAAAGACTGGGGAGAGGAAAGCTACATTTATAGGGACAGGGAACTAGCAAGAAAGGATACATTTTGGAGGGAACAATATCAGGCAATCACAGTCCTGCCTTTTGGAGGGAACCAATAAGACAGAGGATCCAAATACAGCAGCTTAAATGAACCAATAGTAGCTGTACCCTCTAGAACCAAAAGGCAGTTACTTTACCCTAATGCAAATACAGACAATAATAATACAGATATAAAATCCTTTGACTCAATACACAACAAGGATCACACTTCAAAACGACCTTGACAGATTAGAGAACTGGGCCAAAACAAACAAGATGGATTTTAACAGGGAGAAATGTAAAGTATTGCACTTGGGCAAAAAAAATGAGAGGCACAAATACAAGATGGGGGACACCTGGCTTGAGAGCAGTACATGTGAAAAGGATCTAGGAGTCTTGGTTGACCACAAACTTGACATGAGCCAACAGTGTGACGCGGCAGCTAAAAAAGCCAATGCAATTCTGGGCTGCATCAATAGGAGTATAGCATCTAGATCAAGGGAAGTAATAGTGCCACTGTATTCTGCTCCTCTGGTCAGACCTCACCTGGAGTACTGTGTCCAGTTCTGGGCACCACAGTTCAAGAAGGACACTGACAAACTGGAACGTGTCCAGAGAGGGCAACCAAAATGGTCAAAGGCCTGGAAACGATGCCTTATGAGGAACGGCTAAGGGAGCTGGGTATGTTTAGCCTGGGAAGAGAAGGTTAAGGGGTGATATGATAGCCATGTTCAAATATATAAAAGGATGTCACATAGAGGAGGGAGAAAGGTTGTTTTTTGCTGCTGCAGAGAAGTGGACACGGAGCAATGGATCCAAACTACAAGAAAGAAGATTCCACCTAAACATTAGGAAGAACTTCCTGACAGTAAGAGCTGTTTGACAGTGGAATTTGCTGCCAAGGAGTGTGGTGGAGTCTCCTTCTTTGGAGGTCTTTAAGCAGAGGCTTGACAACCATATGTCAGGAGTGCTCTGATGGCGTTTCCTGCTTGGCAGGGGGTTGGACTCAATGGCCCTTGTGGTCTCTTACAACTCTATGATTCTATGATTCTACCATGTGCCACCTTTGCCAGCCGTGTGGTCTCCCTACCTTTTTGCACACCTGGACAGGCACTCTCTGTGCACCTGTGTTTACAATATGGCTGACTCTATCATACTTTTTGCTAGTTTGACCAGGGACTCTGCTCATCACCGCTAAGCAACACTTGGTTTTCTTTCGGAAAAATCTAGGTGTGAGGCTGCTCAGTCCCCCAGCTGGTCATGCAGAGCCCACGGGTCCTTGCGGAATAAAGGAAGGATTCCAGCCAACCAGAGCAAATAGCTGTAGATCAAAGTTTATTGCGCAATAGGTTCAAAGAGGATATTTGAACCCCGAGGATGGGGTGACAAAGACTTTTAAAACCTTCCCACCACATCCCAGAATACAGTTCGTACAGCATCATTGCTACATCATTGCTACATCACTGACATGTCACAAAAGGGGAGGGGTTAACCTTGGCAAACATGTCCAGACAAGTCCTTGGTACAAGATTAGCATAAGCAGACATGGCAGGGCAAGACTCAGGTATAAAATTAGCATAGACAAATATGTCTTAAGTACCCACCACCCAAAAGTACAATAGAAGTTCCTTTGCATGTCTGGAGCCTGAGGCGAGTCAGGTGATGAGATTTGGCTTCCCTTGGCTAACAATGAGCCCAGCAATTTTTGGGGAATTCCTATGTGGAATAACATGGTCCACAAGTTCAAACAAATATGTAAATCAGAATTTTACTATCTTTCAAATTTCACACTTCTTGGAATGTTGTAACACAGTTCTTGGATGCTTTAGACCTGTATTTCCGAACCTTGAGTCTCCAGCCGTTTTTGGACTACAATTTGCATCATCCCTGACCACTGGTTTTGCTAGCTAGGGATGATGGGAGTTGTAGTCCAAAAACAGCTGGAGGCCCAAGGTTGGGAAACACTAAACATTCTAAAATGCATGATTAAATGTGAATTTTGAGAGATAATATGCATTAAAAGAAAATACTTTGAAAGAAAATACATAAAAGTGCTTTGAAAGAAAATACATAAAAGTTCTAAGCCTGTGCGTATATTGAGAGGAAATTTTTAAGATCATCAATTAATGTGGAATTTGATCTGAATTATTGATAAATATGTGAAAATTACACAAACAGAAATATAATAGATATAATAGACTCTTCAAGATCATAGAATCTTAGAGCTGGAAGGGATCACAAGGGTCATCTAGTCTAACCGCCTTTCAATGCCGGAATCTCAGCTCAAGCATCCATGGAAGATGCCCCTCCACCCTCTGTTTAAAAACCTCCAAGGAAGAAGAGTCCACCACCTTTCATGGGAGTCTGTTCCACAGTCAGAAAGTTTTTCCAAATGTTTAATCGGAATCTCCTTTCTTGCAGCTTGAAGCTATTGGTTCAAGTCTACCCTACAGAGCAGGAAAAAACAAGCATGCTTCCTCCTCCATGTCACAGCCCTTAATATATTTGAAGATGACTATCATATCTCGTCTCGGTCTTCTATTTTCCAGGCTAACCATACCCACCTCCTTCAAGCGCTCCGCATAAAGCTTGGTTTCCAAACCTTGATCGTCTTGGTTGCCCTCCTCTGCACACGTTCTAGCTTGTCAACATCCTTCTTAAATTGTGGTGCCCAGAACTGGACATAGTATTCCAAGTGTGGTCTGACTGAGGCAGAATAGAGTGGTACTATTACTTCCCTTGATCTGGACACTATACTTCTGTTGATGCAGCCTAGAATAGCATTAGCTTTTTTTGCTGCTGTATCACACTGTTGACTCATGTTAAGCTTGTGATCCACCAAGACCCCGAGATTGTTCTCACATGTACTGCTAGTAAGCCAAGTGTCTTCCATCCTGCATTTGTGCATCTGGTTCTTCCTGCCTAAGTGCAGAACCTTACATTTGTCCCTATTGAAATTCATTTTGTTAGCTTGAACCCAGTTCTTCAATCTGTTAAGGTCATTTTGAATTTTGATTCTGTCTTCTGTGGCATTAGCTACCCCTCCCAGTTTGGTGTCATCTGCAAATTGGATAAACATCCCCTCAATTCCTTCATCCAAGTCATTTATAAAGATGTTAAACAACAACAGGCCTCGAACAGAACCCTGCATCCCACTTGTCACTTTTTTCCAGGATGACGAGAAACCATTAATGAGTACTCTTTGGGTACAGTTAGTCAACCAGCTACAATCCACATAACAGATACCTCGTTCAATCCACATTTTACTAGCTTCCTCGTGAGAATATCTGTTGGGAATTTCTATTCCACCTTAAGGAGCAGACATAGGATTGTTACATGTCACATGTCTGTTTACATTCCAGCACAGTTTGCGGGGAACTTCCGTTGTGTATAGTTTTTGCTTTTGACTCTCTGATGAGACGAAAGAGAGATGACATGTTTTCTTTGTCCTGATTTATGCTTAATAAATCTGTAGCTTGTTAGTATGCTTACACAAGGCTTATGCCACTTCTGTTTGCGCAGTATGCTCTGCTGATATAGTGTGCTCAGGCTTTGAAGTCTGAGTCGCTGATTTACGTCGCACAAGAGATCGGGGGATCATCACGGCTGGAAGGGCATGATCCAGCTGGGGGCTAGCCAGCTGGCTTCGCAACCCCCGAAGGATGCCGACATGGGGGACTTGGTCAAAAGCCTAACTAAAATCAAGATACACTATGGCCACAGCATTTCCCTGAACCACCAAGTTTGTAATTCTATCAGAAAAAGAAATCAGATTGGTCTGGCATGACTTATTTTTGAGAAACCCATACTGGGAATTAGTAATCACTCTTTTGACAGAAAAATAAATTTAAAACTTCATGGAGGCATCCTCAGTCAAACCACTGGCACCTCTTAGACTATGTTATTGTCCGTGCTAAAGATCGCCGTGATGTGCTCTTTACCAGAGCTATGACAAGCACCAATGACTGCTGGACAGATCACCGACTAATATGCTTCACGATGGCTATCAAGATCATACCTCAACGCAGGCTTCAAGGAAGGAAACCAATTTTATTTTGCAAGGGAGAAAAGCTAGAATTAAATCTGAAATCATGACGGGGTCTAAAGAAATACAGTGGTACCTTGGGTTAAGTACTTAATTCATTCCAGAGGTCCGTTCTTAACCTGAAACTGTTCTTAACTTGAAGCACCACTTTAGCTAATGGGGTCTCCTGCTGCTGCTGCTGCTGCACCGCCAGAGACGATTTCTGTTCTCATCCTGAAGCAAAGTTCTTAACCCAAGGTACTATTTCTGGGTTAGCGGAGTCTGGAACCTGAAGTGTCTGTAACCTGAAGCATATGTAACCCGAGGTACCACTGTAGGAGGCTTTGCAGTTCCAGATTTAAGAAGATATTATGAAGCTGCATGTTGGAGCTGGTTGAAAGAGTGGGTGTTACTTAAAAATATGGAGATTTTGGAATTAGAAGGTTGGGATAGAATCTACGGCTGGCATGGCTATCTAATGTATGGGAAAATACAGGTACACAAAAGATTTATGAGCCATTTAGTGAGAAATTGGCTGGAATATTTTCAATTGAAAGCGACTTTTGAAAAAGATATAAAAAGCAGAGGTTTTGAAAATAAAATATCGAAGTTAGATAAAGAAATCTTACAGAGTAAACAAAAATACTTACAAAAATGTATAAATTAGTAAATAATATACAAATAGATCAAGAAATCAAAAGTAAGAATATGTTAAAGTGGGAACAAGATTTAAGTTAGGAAATTGAATACAAAGATTGGGTTAAATTTTGGACAAAAAATATAAATTTTATGGCTTATCAATTGAAAGAAAATTTCATGAAGATGCATCATAGATGGTATATGTTGCCAGATAGGTTTGCAAAAATGAAAAAACCAGGTGATAAGTGTTGGAGGTGTAATAGAATGATAGGAACCTTATACCATATGTGGT